AGTTATAGATAATTGGAATCCAGATTTGAATAGTGTGTGCTCCTCTGCAGTTCATGCATTTTCATTCTGGAAGTTCCTATTTGGAGGGAAATTCTGGCCTTCATTTTCCAAGGATTGTGGTGGTTGGCCGTCAGGCCTGCCTGGGGTGAGGAGACCATGTTGAAGCCAGGCTGAAGCTGGCTCAAAGTTTTGCTGAGGCATTTCATGGAGCGTCTCCACTGCCCCTTCTTAAAAGATTTCTTGGGCTAGGGTTATGGCTCAGTGGTAGAGTGCTCGCCTCCCATATGATAAGGCACTGGGTTTGATCCTTAGCACCACATCAAAGTAAAATAAAGGAATTGTGTTCATCTACAACTAAAAAAAATGTATTTAAAAAAAAAAAGATTTTTTTTCAAGTCACTTTAGTTTGACCAGCAGATCAAAGGCTGAGTTTGGTGCCAGCTTGGTACTGGCTAAGGCCCTTCTTCTACATGCTGATTTAGAGCCAAGTCTTTACTTGATGGGATGGATTTGTTTTACATGCATTTAATCCCACTTTAACACATGCTTCCAACTCCTGCCAAAGTGGATTTAGAAAATACATTTTGCTAATGCATCTCTGCTCTCATGTTGTCATCTGGGTGTTTTAAATTGGGGAGTAGAATTAATATGTAGACATGCCCTCGCTGAACTCTTTCTCCTTGCAGGCTAATGGAGGCTGGCAGGACGCAACAACTCCATCTTCAGTGACTTCTCCTACAGAAGGCCCGGGAAGTGTGCACTCAGATACCTCTAACTAATCTCTGGCCACACCTTCCCCTGAGCTACCATGCCTTGAGAAGTGTGTTCAGAGCAACAGGAGGAAAAGGAATGCGTTCTTGTAGCCTACCATCTACAGCTTTACTATAAAACCTTGTCTTATTAGAGAACTTGGTAAATCTGTTTTTTAAGGAATCATAATCATTTGTATTTATACTTAAAACACACAATGTTAAAAAAGCACTTTATCCAATTAGGCCAAGATTTAACATTGTTGACAGTCCTGTAGCTATTTTATCATAATTTATTATCAATATTTTACATTAATGGTTTCACAGTTGCCAATTACTTGGCCTTAAGGGTAAAAAGTACAATATATGCTAAACCTCAATCGTTAGAGCAGATGCAAAGATTCACCTCACCTAAATTGAACTCCTTACATATTTCCAGCGCAGACTTTGATTGTCTTTCTTTCATGTCACTAATGGGGTTGGAATAAAAGAGCTGTTTGGCTATCTCTGTTAATGATGGTTGTGTTTAAGAACCTTCCTCGTCACATTTGGGTTGTGATCTCTTACGTTATAATTAGATCAGAGACTGGTAGCCTCTTTTCTCTCTGAAAGCACCAGTACCCAGAGTCTGCTTGGTAATGAGATTATGGATCCAGATTGTTCTGAGAGATGAAGATTACTTGCTGCTGATGGAGGTGAAAACGAGACCTGTCTGGGGTTTTACAGTGTGCACTGGGTGCTGCACAGACTTGTCAAGGTTTGCTTTGTCCTCTGGGCATCCGCAGAAGGCCCTGCTCTCTGGAGTGTTGTATATAGTGTAGCAAAAGAGTATTTATACATCTCACCAATCAAAACACAGCTTTATTACCTCATGCGAACTCATAAGAACCAATAGAATTTCAACATGTTCTGTAGCTTAGAGTGCTCACTTACTACCTCTGAACAATACTCACCTGTAGTTTTGTCTCTTTCTTATCTTTTTGCATCTTGTAATTAACTCTTTGTTTCCCTTCATAAATATGTAATGTACATTGTAATCTTTTAAAAGAAAAATCAGGGTTGCATTTGCAACTTTTAAAAAAATGAGAGTGGAAACATTGGGTCTTAATTTAACACAGGATCAGTAAAACTGTTGTAAATACTGCGAAACATTTTGAATGTTCCTCATCTTGTTACTAACCCATGCAAAAAAAAAAAAAAAAAAAAAAAAGCGGCGACTAATTGTGATGCATTCAGATTTCAGTATTCAGTACTGTATATTTCACCCTGTGTGATGGGGACCCCCTCCTTTCTCTTTTTGTATTGTATGCGATTCTGAACCTGATTGAGTCATGAAAATAATTTGTGGCAGTGATTCTAATGTATTAAAAATGTTTCGTGTTCCTTTCTAACTGGATTACACCCTGGATTGAAAAAGTCTTCCTCGTGGTAGTTACATGTAGTTTCAAACATGAATAAACTTTTTGCTTTCATGATTAATGAAATTTCGATGCTATTTCTTACTGCTTAGCCAGGCAGCCAGCACAGGCAGTGGGGAAGCCTCAAGAGGAGGCAGACCTGGGCCAGGGAGCACATGGCCACTGGGAGGCTTTGGCGAGGCTGAGCAAGGGGACAGCTGTTGACTGAGCAGCTCCCTGGGAGGCCCTGTGCACCCCACTGCCGTCACCCCAAGTCCTCACTCCATCCTTTTGAGCTCATAGCACCGCAAGAAAAACACTCTCATCTTCACAGATCAGCAAACGATGCTAAGAGAACTAGGGAATGTCAGGAGGCCACACACCAGGGAGGAGGGCGTGTCTGACTCCGTCTCCAGTCCTTGGCATTCACGTTCTCATGACCTGGCGATGCCTCTGGAACTTGTCAGGTGGAAAATTGTTTGTTTTTTGAAATTGTATTTTAATAACCAGAACCTTGTCACGTTCACTTCGCCTCCCTGACTTCTTTAACTGCAGTTTTTAAAGATGAGTGAAAGTTTATCCAAAAAGGGTGGGCCTCGAATGCCATTGGAAAACAAAACTCCTGCAACTTTTTTAAATTCTAAATTTGTAATCTGTAAGACGAACTAAAAATCCTTGAACTAGATTAAACGTTGTTTTTGTTTTATACAAATTGTAAGAAAGTCCATATATTTACATACATGCCTGTCACTAATATCTAAATCTTTATAATAATAAAAGAGGTTCATAGCAGGTAATTGGCCTGTTTACTATATCTCAAGGAAATTGACTCACAGGAAATCAGATTAATGTTAATCAGTTGCAGCAAATTGTCTATGATAAATACAACTGCTTTACTATTTCAGTTGCTACAGCCAGGCAAAACAAGGTCTAGGGCCATCATTCCCATTAATCTTGAGGCCGTTATACTGTGAGGGTAAACTTTATAAAATAGATTGCCCTCCAAAGCTGTCCTCCCTCACGTGGATATTCTGCCTGCCTGTTGGAATCTCTCCTGTGGCTAAATAATTATTTGCATGATTCAATTAGCTTGTGGGTCAGCCTTTCTTATCTTTGTGCAGAAAACAATCTGTGCTGTGTGGTTTTGCAAGACATATCCTGAGAAAACGTAATGCGCGTGCACACACAAATTCATCTTCTTTGGTGTTCCCAAACAAGATACCTCATGAGAACCATCTTGGATTTTTCTCTTGGGCCAGTTTCTTGGAAGAAGCACATGCCAGTTCTTACTGGAGATCCACCATGGTGACTCGCAGCACTGGAGGGAAATATGTGGGTCAGGGGCTCTTCTTGGGAACCCTAAAGAGCCCCTCTCTGCTTGTTTAGGAGACTTGCACATTTTCCTCTTTGCTCTTCACCGCCTCTTAAAGGGTAGAAGCACTGTCACTTCATAGGGAAACTGGGATAGCACACATGCCCTCCAGCCCAGCCTCTGGGGTCCATCAGGGTCTCGGAAGCTCTCCAAGTATGTTGAGTGCCCAGGAGTCCTGAGATTCTTGTCTCACTCCAAGTCGCATGAAGTGAGTTGTTGATTTTGGATAGGTTTTCTTCAGGTGCCTTTCTGGGTCATGCCGTGGTTTAGGGATAGACCCAGAGATGAGTGAAAGCAGGTCCCACCCCTACAGGGATCAGACCCCTAATCCTAGTTCGGAAAGCAAATGCTTTAGGTCTTGGGTGCGTAGACTTCTGATCCCCAAGACTGGACAAATGAAGGTCCCAAAGCCCACTCACAAGGTCAAAGGAAGTAATAGCAGGAAGCCAGGTGAACCACCCATTCACAGGCTAAGAGGCCTGTGTGCACGTACAGTGTTTGGTGCACAAGAAAACACGTGCTTATGTAAGAATACGTGCATGTTCACAGGTGTCTGGAGCCCAAGCACCTGACAGAGTATCAGTCTTCCACGTGCAGGTGTCCAAGGGCAAGGAGACCCCCCAGTACCTCTGACCAGGGGATCTTGCCCAAAGCGAACTATGTGCCTTTGCCAGAAGCAGGATGGGAGGAGTGATGTCCTAGAGAAGCCCTTGTGTGGTGTGCGACGTTGAGATTCATCTCCCAGATTGTGTTGGGGTGCTTTGTAAAATGTGCATTGTTGGTGCCCCAAGGGCCCTCGCTGGACTGAGCCACAGCTTCCTGAGCACCTCTGTACCTCTCCAGTGCCTCGCACACCTAAGCTCCTCTGCCGGGGATCCCTGGGGGCTGTTATAATCCCATTTTCAGATGGGAAATCGGAATCCCAAAGCAATGACGTCACCTGTGCAAGATCTTGCCTGGACCTAGGGTCTGTGATGGTCCTGCATGACACCCCCAGCAGCCACTTGTGGCAGGATAGAGAGGCTCATGTGCAAGGTCCCTTCTGGAGCAAGGTGACTAGGGAATGTCCCCCAACCCTCTACAGAGGTTGCAGCTCTTCTGTCCCATGCCCCAGTGTCCTGAGGTGCTGCTGTGAGGGGTGTGTGATATGTGTCACCAGCCGCGTGGTGCTCTCTGTATGGAAAGAGGTTGGGACTACAGGATGAGCCAGTGTCCTCAAGCTGTCTGGACTGGGCCTGGCAAGGTGACTAGTAGAGGCAGACAGCACCCCCTAGGGAGGGTAGCGGTGGCAGTGACAGTGTGGAGCACAGGCTGGGCATGTTCTCTATGCATACTTTATCACAGGTCGAGTTCCTGGGTGCATACCTGGTGCTCTCAAAAGTGTCTTTCCAAGGCCCAAGCCCAGCTTTGCTCTGGCCCCTGCCCCCAGCCCTACTGCCCAACAACCCACCTTGAACTTGAGCAGGCTGACAGAGCCCAGAGCCCAGCAGGTGTGGGTCTGAACCCAGGCTCTGCCTCCCACCAGACCTCGCCTAAGAGCCTATTTCCTCGCTGTCCTCTTCCGTGCCTCTCTGCCAGAGGAGAAACAGGAAAGTGAGTGGGGAGGAGGGCGAGGAGGGGGCTTAGGGAGGTAGGAACCCAGAGGCACCCAGAGCAGAGGCCGGACACTCGCCCTCTACCTGCTTCCAGAGTCCTCAATCCACATGCAGCCTCCTGCAGAAGGTCCTTCACACTCATCCTCACACTCCAGGTGGGAAGCCAAAGTCCCTTGGCCAACACACACAGAACCCAAGCACACACCGATAACCCTCTGTGTCTTGTAACAGTGTCTTGTCACGCTGGTTCTGTGGGCTCACTGGGTCTGCCCAGACCACTGAGCCCAAAGGGGAACTAAGCAGAGAAGGGGGCAGGTGTGAGCCCCCAGCACCCTCTCAGAGCTGTGGGCTCCTCTTCCCAGAAGCCCAGGATCCCAGATGCACGTCAGGAGGGCTGCAGGGTCCCACTAAGGCCTGCAACTAGTCCCCGCTGAGGCTGGGACCAGCCCAAGGGAGTATAACCCCTGCTGTCCTCGGGCAAAGCACGTGGCCTCCGTGTGCCCCAGCTCTTAGCCTCCTAGCAGAGCAGAATCGGGCCAGCGGGTACAGCATACAGCATACAGCAGGGCTGAGGCTGGCTGCTCTTGTCACCTGCTAGTCCACAATTTGCCCTGGGTGGGGATCTGTCCTCGAATCCCAGCCTCAACGCCATGTCACCTCCTCCTGGCCCCTGGTTTGATGTGTCTCTCTTCTTAGCAGTATGATGTGGTGCGAAGGGCGAGGGCACCAGAGTCGGCCTGAGTTCTGCCACTCTCCAGTGTGTGTCACCTTGGGCATGGCACCTCCTTTTTCTGCAGCCCCAGTGTCCCTGTCTGTGAAATGGGGACTTAGTTCTTATCTGCATCACAGGGATGTAAGGATTAAGAGCCCAGCACCTAATCTCTGGGTTGGGGTAGGTTCTCTCCTTGTTGCTACATGGTGGCCAGACCAGAAGGGGAGGCCCAGGCTCCCCCACCACTGGAATGATGACGTCTGGTCAGCAGCAGGGTTGCTGGGGTGTCCCCTGCCGAGTGAAGATCCTGGGGTGAGTCAACATCTTCCACCCACCCGCTCTGGCCTGCTGTCCCTAGCGCTCAGGCTGGACCTTAGCCGAGGCCTCACCTCTCTCCTTCATCTCAGGAGATAATAAAAGGCTGATTCTTTTTTCCTGGTAAAATTTCAGAGAAAGTGTACGCATCATTAAATATGGAAATCCAGAATTTTATTAGCAATCTGCTAGATCTGAACTGACGCCAATTAAACAAAAAAGATATCATTTATAAAAAGGCAGAGTTCAACTTGTATTAAATGTGAAATGCAATTTTCTCCTGGTTTTGATTTATTACTGGTGGTCCATTGTTCAAAGAAGCATGTTATATTTCAATAGAGAAATATTGTTTATTCATTAATATTTTAAAATGGGCTTATTGCTGTGCATGGCTCTCACCGAATGAAACTTATGATTTAAAACATGAATTAATAAACACATTTGAAAGTGTTAGACGAGATCACAACCTCTCATTTTTCATTTTCCTGGGAGCATATTAAATTTTTATAATTCTGCATCTACAGTTTTTTCTTTTAAATAAAGATGCAGATTCCGAATTACTCTGCTAATTTCAGGTAACTAGGGGAGAAAAGCAATATCGTGGGGACTGGTGTCAGGATCACAGAATCCCCGAGAAGACGCTCAGGTTTATTTTTGTAATATTCATAAATCAAAATAAATGAGCTTTGTGCGGGAGGCAGCGTTTACGTGCGTGAGGATGCTGGCTGCAGCGGCCGGCGCACTGGGGCTGCCTGAGTGTGCAGGTGGGTTGAGTGTTCATGTCCACATCACACGTACGTGTGCCGTGTCCACAGAAGCACACACACATCACCCTGGATGCTTGAGTGTGCGCAGTAAAGTGCAAATTGATTGTTTGGTCAATGTTCCAGCATTATTTATTGAGCTTCTACTACATGCCCGACAGCACACAGGTCACTGTGGATGCGATGGCCACAGGGTGACCTGCTTGCCCATCTCCGCCAGGACAGCTCTGAGGCTCTCCCCACCAGGACTTGGGGCTGTTGATCCCCCAGTGTGCCCCCTGCCCCCGGGAGAGAGGTTTTGATGTGCTGGTTCCCTGGGAGCAGGGGTG